AGGGCTGATTCATCTGTTTCAAGGGCCAGGCAAAGATAAAAGACTTCATCCCAAATGGAGCTGCTTCCTCCTCAAACCTGAGCATCCTCTCCACCATATTTCTCTGCGTGGAAAGTATTATAATGTCAGTATCACTCATGCTTGTAAAAGATTCATAGACCATTTCCTCCCCTTCCGGAATTCCTGTCTATCGTGTCGCTGCCCTGTGTTCTTTCGTCTCACTGTTGGGCAGTTTGGTGATGCCAGCCACAGATTCCATCACAACCCAGCCGCCTGTCATAGGATCACAGCATTTTAGAGCTGGCAGGGGTGTAGAGATGACATTTTCAGAAAAGAAAATGGGGACGTGCGTGATGGCTTACACCTGTAATCCCAGCACTTTGGGAGGCCAAGTTGAGTGGATCACCTGAGGTCAGGAGTGACCAGCCTGACCAACATGGTGAAACCCTGTCTCCACTAAAAATACAAAAAAGCAGGGTGTGGTGACAAGCACCTATAATCTCAGCTACTCAGGAGGCTGAGGCAGGAGAATCAGTTCAACCCGGGAGTTAGAGGTTGCAGTGAGCTGAGATCGTGCCATTGCACTCCAGCCTGGACAACAAGAGTGAAACTCCATCTAAAAAAAAAAGAGAGAGAGAGAGAAAACAGAAGCTCAAAGGACAGTGATTTGTTCAAAGTCACATGGTGAGCGCAGACTAGGATCACTGTGGGCGCTTTTATTCCTTCACTTGCCTTGTTTCTGCTCTTCTTTTCTACTTCTGAAAATATATACAGAATCTTTTCTAGGAACCAGGGTGGGAAATTAGGAGAAATTCTCCAAGGTGAAAATAAAAACGTAGACAGTCAGCCCAAAGTTGTGGGAGTGCGGATGAATCAACTGCAGATGGAACACGGGGACCAGAAAGTAAGTACTGGACTCATTTATTAAGAAAATTAATTTCTTAACTTTAGGGAGCACAATGGTAAAGACCCTGTGAGGATACCACAGTCATAAATGTTGTAGGCAAGACCTATGCTGCCAGGGGCGCTCGATTTAGCAGATAAAAGTTTGAGAAGTAGGATATTATCACCATCTCAAAGTATCTCCCAATATATACTTAACAGTTACAAAGGGAAAAGTGGTAACTTTACGGCAAGAAAACCTGACAGACACCACCTTAAGCAAGTGACCAAAGTGACTAACAGTTACATCCACACTGACATCACGCACTCCCCCATATAACATGCTGAGAAGGGCATGCCACCTCTAGCGTTCCTGCCAAAACGCATGCATGTCTTCAATCAAATCATGAGAAAAAAAACTTTAGACACGTTCCATCCAGTCATGGAACAATACTTTCCAAAAGTGTCCAGGTATGTAAAACAAGGGAAGACTGAGGGGCTGTCATAGATTAGGGCAGACGAAGGAAACCCAGCTAAGAGCTGTCCTACATATAGGATCCAGGAAAAGAAACAGGACGCGAGTGAAAACAGTGGTGAAATCCAAATAAAATCTGTACCTTGGTATTAGTATTGTACCCATTAATTAAGAAAAGAAAAATCAAAACTACACTGAGATACGATCCCCAACCAGTCAGAATGGCGATCATGAAAAAATCTGGAGACAACAGATGCTGGAGAGGATGTGGAGAAATAGGAACACTTTTACACTGTTGGTGGGAGTGTAAATTAGTTCAACCATTGTGGAAGACAGTGTGACAATTCCTCAAGGACCTAGAAATAGAGATTCCATTTGACCCAGCAATCTCATTACTGAGTATATATCCAAAAGATTATAAATCATTCTATTATAAGGACACGTGCACACGAATGTTCACTGCAGCACTGTTTATAATAGCAAACACCTGGAACCAACGCAAATGCCCATCAATGATAGACTGGACAGAGAAAATGTGGCACATACCCACCATGGAATACTATGCAGCCATAAAAAACGATGAGTTCGTGTCCTTTGCAGGGACATGGATGAACCTGGAAACCATCATTCTCAGCAAACTGGCATAAGAACAGAAAACCAAACACCGCATGTTCTCACTCATAGGCGGGTGTTGAACAATGAGAACACATGGACACAGGGAGGGGAGCATCGCACACTGGAGTCTGTTGAGGGGAACTAGGGGAGGGGCAGTGGGGAGTGGGGAGCTGGCGAGGGATAACATGGGGAGAAATGCCAGATATAGGTGATGGGGAGGAAGGCAGCAAACCACACTGCCACGTGTGTACCTATGCAACTATCTTGCATGTTCTTCACATGTACCCTAAAACCTAAAACGCAATAAAATATATATTTAAAAAAAAAAAAAGAAAAGCAATTGCTTTTTTTTTTTTTTTTTGGAGGCAGGGTCTTGCTATGTGGCCCAGTTTGTCTTCAGACTCCTAGGCTCAAGTGATCTTCCCACCTCAGCCTCCTGAGTACCTGGGATTACAAGCACGTGCCACCATGCCCAGCTAATTTCTTAATTTTGATAGTTGCACCATGGTTATCTAAGATGGTATCATCAAGGAAGCTGGATGAGGAATACACGAACACTCAACAATTTTTGTGACTTTACTATTGTTTAAAATAATTTCAAAGTCAGTTTTTAAAAAGGAAAAAGAAAAGGCTGTGGGATGCAAGGAGAGGAAAGGCAGTTGGTAATGGGATGCAGCTATACAGCACAGCAGCTGACCATTCCTTCTAGAACCTTCTAAATCCTAAAAGATGGACAGTGGCCACTGGGAAGTCACCATTTCCCTTCTGGGTTAATCTGAACTTGTACATTATTACATTATTATAGCCACAACATTCACAAGTTAAACTTCTGAGAATAAGCTTCAAGGCACGAAAGGGATTAAGGAAGAGTCTGATTTCCTCATCAGTTGCAGCTGGTAAATGGTGGTACCAGGACTGCTGTACTTCGAGTGACTCTGGGGCAGCCACCCTAGAGGCTGAGCTTCCAGACACTACCTGGCCTGATCACCTGGAATGGGGAGTCCCATTGTCACAGGAAAGGATGAGAAGACAGTACCCGGGGAAGGAGGGCGGGGGAAAGAGGACATCTTCATTCAGGCTGTGTTTGCTCTACATTGTGTGTATATGTTTCTGACAATGAAATGTGTTCTTGGAAATGTCCCCTTCATTTATAGATGTATCACTCCAGAGTGTGTGTGAGAAAGCGAAAGAGACATGTCAGAATCCCAGAGAAAACAGCTTAGCCCTGCATTCCATTATAGACACAAAGCGTTGTGTACGTTAGTGATAAATTTGCAGAAGGGGTGGGAATGTGGTTTTGTTGGGATTTCCAAATGTAAAACAGGTCTCCCTTCCCCTCGCTTGGTTGTTGCTGTTTCCTAACAGAACAAAAATACCGGCGTTGGCGACATTGTTGCCAGAAACTTACTTGGCAAAACACTGACATTCCTTTTTTATATATATATTTTAAAAATCATTTATTCCAATGGGTACTTTTCCACGTCCTCCCTGATTTTTGCGGTAATAATGACCACATTTGGCTCCAAACCTGGGGATGTGGCAGAGAAAGCCACCTCCAGATTCCAGATCCTAAAGTCTCATGAAGATGAACATGGATGCCTAACTGACGTTACCAATTTAAGGGATTTAAACACTCAGCTCTAGAGTAAACAAAATCCAGTGGCAAGGTTTTGGACAACTTCAGCAACGTTTGACAACTCAACCCAGATGCTGGGAAGTACAAATCTTGTAAACGTAAGCTCTCCACTGCATTTCGTACGAGCAAGATGGTGAGTGGGACAGACCCGCTAATGAAGGAAAGGACTTATCATTATTGAGTGACTTTGATGGGGCAGATAGTATACAAAGTGCTCTACTGCCACAGTCTCACTTACCATTTGCAATGAGGTAGCTATTATTTATGGATAAGAACATGAGGCTCAGAAATCTGCCATTTGCCTCACTTTGCAAGTGACAACATCAGTATTAAACTCATGTGACTTTAAAACCTTTACTATTTCCTGAAGTCAACATTAACTGTATGTAACATTACTTTGCTTAAAGCCTCCCAATTGCTCTCGTAGCCACTAGATCAGTGAATGTCCCAGCTCAGCCTTCGAAGCCTTGGCGGTTACCCCTGCCGCCACACACAGAACTAAAAGCTGTTTACCTAAGGCTGGCACTCTCTTAAGAATGTGGTTCCCTCTTCCCACCTTTGCCAGCATTTATTTATGCCTTGTTATTATTTTTTTTTTTCTGAGACGGGGTCTTGCTATGATTCCCAGGCTGGATTTGAACTGCTGAGCTCAAGCCATCAGTCCTACCTGCCCCCTCAGCCTCCCACATAGCTGGAATCATAGGTGCGCCCCTCTGTGCCAAGCTTTGGCTATGTGGTTTCTTCATTCACGAGTCTGCCTGGAACTCCTTGTCCACGTGGACGCTGATACTCTTTCAATGAAATGATACTATGTGCTTAGTCGTGTTTTTTTTTTGTTGTTGTTGTTGTTTTTTTTTTTTTTTTTGAGATGGAGTCTCACTGCCATCACACAGGCTGGAGTACAGTGGCACAATCTTGGCTCACTGCAGCCTCCCCCTCCCGGGTTCAAGAGATTTTCCTTCCTTAGCCTCCTGAGTAGCTGGGATTACAGGTGTACACCACCATGCTCCATTAATTTTTGTATTTTTAGTAGAGATGGGGTTTCACCATGTTGGCCAGGCTGGTCTTGAACTCCTGACCTCAGGTGATCCACCCGCCTAGGCCTCCCAAAGTGCCAGGATTATAGGCGTTAGCCACCACTGCGCCTGGCCATGCTTAGTGGTTAATACCTGCTTCTTGCCAAATGAATGAATGAATGAATGAATAGGAATTAACAGATTTTTTTTTTTTTCTAGAGACAGGGTCTCACGCTGTCACCCAGGCTGGAATCCAGAGGCATGATCAGGCTCACTCCAGTCTCGACCTCCTGAGCTCAGGTAATCCTCCCACATCAGTCTCCCAAGTAACTGGGACTAAAGGCACCCACCACTACTCTGGCCTAACTTTTTATAGGGACAGGGTTTTGCTATGCTGTGCAGACTGGTCTCAAACTCCTAGGTTCAAGCCATCTGCCTGCCTCAACTTCCTACAGTGCTAAGATTACAGCCATGAACTGCTGTGCCCAGCTAGGAAATGCTTCAAACACTTGAGGTGATAAATACTTTTAAATTTTATATAACATTCTATGTAAGTGCTATGAATGTTACAACTCATTGTGAAAAATTTACTGAAGGAGAATTACTAAAGATTCATATTAGATAATATTTAATGGTTTTATTTCAGTGGTTCTGAACCAGGATTACTTTGACAGCCCCACCCAGGGGACACTTGGCAACGTCTTGAGACATTTGGTTGTCACCAACCCAGGGAAGGAGGTGCCACTGGCATCTATTGGGCAGATTCAAGGGATGCTGCTAAGTCTCCTACAATGCCCTAGAAACCCCCTCTACCCCAAACAACGGCCACAGTGCCAAGATTGAAAAACCCTGTTTTGTTTGATTTAGTGGCATATACTTGAAGGTAGTCAAACTATGGCTCATTTTTTTAAAATCCAGATTTCTGATTAACCAAACTGGCTAGCGTTGTGTCGATTTGTCTCAATTACTAAGGACTGCTGGAATTTTGCTGGGAATATGTTTCGGGAAAGGACTTTCTGTCGCCTTCACACTTCCGCTCAGTGGCAATGTTTTTCACGTTCATTGACTATCAACTGGTTGTCTACAACTCAAATTACATAATGAATCCAGCACATAAATTATTTACCCAGATTTAATTCCAGCAACTGTTATCTTTGTATTTTTTTCCCCTCTGCCAGCTAATCTGGCTCCTTTCATTGGAATTTTGGTCATGCCCATTCTCCTTCTGCACTAAATTATCTCCATAACATAGTATAAACAGAACAAGCTTGTGTGTGATATGCTTAACTGTTAATTTACCTAATTAAACTAATTCAATTAAATCATTTACATCTTTTTGGTAACATGCCAGTTGATACCACAGCAGAAGTGGGATGTTTCAGAAGATGATTGTTCAGCAAATGAATGGGGGAAAAAACACACACAAAATGAGACAACCGTCCAAATCTCTTGGCTTGAAAATTAAATGATACTGAAAAAAGGCAGCTTCCAAGGGGTACCGTAACTAGGTATTTTTCTTAAATCAATTTTCTCTAGAAATTTGTATTTTAACACAGTGATGGCAATGTATTGTGTAAGATATCTTAAACACTATTTGTACATTCACAAATTTGGTATGTTTAAGTAATGTGTACTTGTTCCCACATTAAGGCGTGATTTGTGAAATGTTTGGTGATGCTAGGAAGACATGCACTGAGCACATGCTTTTGAATGAACTTGCAAAATCATTTTGCTAAATTACATAAATGTCTTTAGGATACATACATATGTCATCTACAGTCATCATCTAAACATCCATGCCACAGTGATAAACGTACAAAAGTAAACGTACAACATTTTATGCCAATAAAAATCAACAGAAAAAAAGACAAATTCTAGGCAGGAGAACCTACATACCCTGTCATATTTGAGGATCTGCATAAACCTCCCCCTCTGACTGACAGAGAATCCGCACTGGTGGCAGAACCGAGGCTTGTTGATAGATGGGCCACCCTTGTTTCATCTCTCCAGGGCTTCCATCCAGGTGGGGGACGGGTTTGCTGGGTAGGAGTTGGTTTTCTCTTCAGAAGCACACATGCCCAGGGCAAAACTTGAGGCAAAACCCTGCCTTGACCTACAATGAGGGCATAAAGCCCTAGATTTCATAGAACTTCAGAATAGCCTGCATGAAACCCACCTCGATTCCTCCCGTCTGAGCAACCTCCTGACGTTTGCCAGTAAGGTCTACAAGATTCCAGGACAAATCACAACATACAATGACACTTGGCACCTGCTTGGAGCTTCCCCATCAGAAAGGTACATTTCCTCTACCACGCTCCAGGGGCAAACAGGCAGCGTAGTTTATTTTCTGGATGTTCATGCTTTCTACCTATTTCCACTTTAAATCCAAGCATCTTTTTCTTTTCTTCTCATTTAAGAAGCCGAAGGAGATAATTTGTGGAAATAAAACAGGATGTTTTCAGAAAAAAAAAATTTTTTTTTTCTATTTGGGAGGCCACCTCTGTGGACACTTTCCTCTGCTCAACCCTGCGATGGGGTCACTTGTCTTCACAAATCAATGGCTCTGGCACATCCTAAACTTCCCAACAACAGAGATTTGGAGGTTGGCAATCAAATGTCTGAATCTAATCCTCCTCCCACCACTCATGCTAAACTTACTCTCTCTTAGTAAATACCAATTCCCTGAAGTCAGGGGTCTCCCTGTCTATCTATACCTATTCCTGTTTTTGGTTTGTTTGTTTGTTTTTTGAGATGGAGTCTTACTCTGTCATGAGGCTGGAATGCAGTGGCACAATCTCGGCTGACTGCAACCTCTGCCTCCTGGGTTCAAGTGATTCTCCTGCCTCAGCCTTCCGAGTAGCTGGGACTACAGGCACGCACCACCATGCACAGCTAATTTTTCGTATTTTTAGTAGAGACGTGGTTTTACCATGTTGGCCAGGATGGTCTCGATCTCCTGACCTCATGATCTGCCCACCTCTGCCTCCCAAATGCTGGGATTACAGGTGTGAGTCACCACTCCAGGCTCTGTCTATCCATTTCACAGCCCAAGCACAGTGACTAGCATGCAGAAAACATATAAATTACTGATTTCATAGTTAATGAAGAGTCAAGAGACTTTTCCAAAAACAAAGTCATTTTTCTGCCTAAAGCAATTTTCCCTTTCTTTTTTTTTTTTTTTTTTTTGGTGTTGGGGGGGTACTTTTTTTTTTTTTTTTTCCAGAGACAGAGTCTTGCTCTGTCACCCAGGCTGGAATGCAGGGGCATGATCTCAGCTAACTGCAACCTCTGCCTTTTGGGTTCAAGCAATTCTCCAGCCTTACCCTCTTGAGTAGCTGGGATTACAGGCATGTGCCACCATGGCCGGCTACTTTTTGAATTTTTAGTAGAGATGGGTTTCACCATGTTAGCCAGGCTGGTCTTGAACTCCTGACCTCAGGCAATCCGCCCACCTAGACCTCCCAAAGTGCTGGGATTACAGGTGTCAGCCACGGCCCTTGGCCTCAACTTTCCCTTTCAACTTGCCAGAAGTCAGCGGCCTCATGACTCTTCCTGGCACCCAGACTTATGTCTAGATTTACTGCCCGATGAGTCAAATTTCCAAAGGCATTCACATTTCCTCTTTGATACTCATGTGCCCTCCTTCCTCTTGATAATTGCAGTCATCCTCCCAACTCCTGCTACCATCTCTGTCATTCCCAATCTCCAGTGAATATGACGCAGTTGAAGGACAACGTGAAACAGACATTCCCTCTGGGTTAGTTTTCTGGGACTTCCATAACAAAGTAGCTCAGGCTGCTGGGCTTAAACAACAGAAACTCATCTTCTCTGGGGGAAAGAAGCCTACAAGTTCTGGAAGGCTGGACATTTGAGATCAAGGTGTTCGCAGGGCTGGTTTTTCCTGCGGCCTCTCTCCTGGGCCGTTTTCTGATTGTGTCTTCAAATGGTCTCCCCTCTGAGCCCACATCTCCCTTCTTTCTTGTGAGAATCCCAGTCACATTGGATTGGGGCTCACCATCTTAACTTAATTACCTCTGCAAAGACTCCAGCCCCCAATACAGTTCCATTCTGAGATACGGAGGGTTAGGACTTCAACATACGATTTTTTGCAGGGGCTGGGGAGGAACAAAATTCAGCCCATAACACCACCCTTTGCTATTCAAGAGCTGTTAGGAAAAAAGTAATCAGAATTCCATCCGTTTTGCTGAGTAGTGTATAGACACAGTTTTACAGCTAGAAGACTAAGATTTCCTCTTCTCCTATCAGAGAGTGTTGGAGTCTTGACTGTGGCTGACAATGGTAACTGTCGCCTCAACTTCCAATTTCCCTTCTTCCGTTTTCAACTTGCCCTGGTCTTGTCCTCCACATTCCACCATGCTGGGTGCTGGTGAGACTGGGCAGACCATGATCTCATGCATTTGTCAGTGATGAGTTTAGGTCTGGTCATGTGTCCCAATGGAAGGAAGAAGGTCTGCTGGGGGTTTCTGGGGGGAAATTCTGCTGTTAAGAGGTTTAGAAATTGGCTGGGCACAGTGGCTCATGCTTGTAATCCCAGCACTTTGGGAGGCCGAGGCAGGTGGATCATGAGGTCAGGTGTTTGAGACCAGCCTGGCCAACATGCCAAAACCCCCTGTGTCTACTAAAAATATAAAAATTAGCCAGTCCTGGTAGACCATGGTGCATGCCTATAATCCCAGCTACTCAGGAGGCTGAAGCAGGAGAATCATCTGAACCTGGAAGGTGGAGATTGCAGTGAGCTAAGATCACACCACTGCACTGTAGCCTGGGAGACAGAGTGAGACTTCATCTAAAAAAAAAGAGGGAGAGAGAGAGAGAGAGAGAGAGAGAGATCTAGAAACTGATGCTTCCTTTGTATCTCTAGACAATATTGGGTCTCTGTGAGATGTTAACTTCTGTGCCAATATTGCCATCCAAAGGGGACCTGAAGAAAGGGCCCGCTAACACATCAAGAATAACATTGTCTGGAAGAGATGGAAACATTTTTTGATGATACCAATGAACCACTGAATCCACCCATCTGAGTGCCCGCCCACCCTACTGCTACATTCGTTATTTGGTGAGACAAAACTTTTTCATATGACTGAATCCACTTGAAACAGATTTTTACTACTTTCACCCCAAAAGCATACTCACCAATAGAAAGGCTTCCAACCGCTTGCTGCTGCTCAGTCACCACTCATGCTTCCCGATTCAGTTGTCCCATTTGTAAAACAGAGGTAATGACACTTAGTCTGTGGCATCACTGCGCAACGTGAGTGAAATGTGTCAGGCAAGGTGCCCAGCTCAGAGCCTCATAAAGAGAAAGTATCTAATACACAGAGGCCACTTCTAGCTTTTGCTCTTCCAGGGGCTTCTAGCAGCTTGAACATGGCTCTCCTTGTACCTCCTGCCTGTGGACTCGCAAGCAGAGCAGCTCAACAATTTGGGATACTGGTACTTTGGTTCACAGCACTTTGGGAGGCCCAGGTGGCAGGTTCACTTCAGTCCAGAAGTCTGAGACTGGCCTGAGCACCATCACGAGACCCTGTCTCTACAAAAATCGAAAAATTCGCGGAGCATGGTGGTGCATGCTTATAGTCTCAGCTGCTTGGGAGGCTGAGATGGGAGGAATGCTTGAGCCCAGGAGGTTGAGGCCGCAGTGAGCCATGACTACGCCACTGCACTTGAGCCTGGGAGACAGAGCGAGACCCTGTCTCAGAAAATAAATAGATAAATAAGTGGGAAAAAAAGAACTAGTGTGAACTATCTACCTAAAAGTAACCATCATCTTTTTTTTTTTTTTTTTTTTTTTTAAAGCAAAAAGAATTCGTTAATCTATAGAAATCTCCCTTGCCTGAAATTGCTCACTGGGCTGGACTTCCCTATCTGGAGATTTCTAATGCAGGAGATGTTTATGCCGGGCTCACAGCTGGGCCAAAGACCACCAGCGGGAGTGCGCCCTGCTTTTCCCACCCTCTCTTCTGTTGTGTTTCTGCCACTGTCCTCTCCCCGCCCCCTGCCCTCTCTGCCTGGACCAGGCACCTCATACAGTGCTTCCCAAAGGAATGATCAGCAAGTACTTATTGAGCAAATGCTTGGCTGTAGGAACCCCTGTGGCCCAGGCTGAGGAGGGAATGGATGCAGGAGGATGGAGAGGGAGAAGCTGAGGAAGTACATTCCCGGGAAGTGCTCTGTAGTCATCAATCTCTTTGGTCTTCTCTCTACCCAGTCTTGAAAGTTGGGATGCTTGCTGATGCTGGGGGAACTTGAGGGTGCCCAGACGGCCCAGCCCTTACAGAATGGTTATACAAGTACATAGGTTCCTTACACACCTAGCAACTTACTAATTGCTTAATCTACGCCAGGCACAATATGCCAAGTTTTATAATCCCATTTAACTGTCATAATTCTAAGCACAAGAAACCCATTTTATAGATGAAAATACTAAGGATCCAAGGACTAAAGTGACTTGTTCAAGGCCTTATTTGTAGAAAAGGCAAATACTAGAGCCTGGGTGTTTATATCCAGGAGTTAATGAGTTTGATGGCTGTTCAGTAGTCAGGGCATTGCAGGAGGACCCAGAGGTATGGCAGATGGGTCAATCTGATGGACCCTCCCGAGCGTGATAGAACGAAAGAAGCT